ACAGGTGTTAATTTAGTCGTCAGTCGTAACTAATTATTAATTTTAAATGTCATATTGTACCATTTTCAGCGACGTGACGGTCTCGTCGAACGTTCGCGAGTGGTTGCGCTCACCGGCCTTCGACGCGCGACAGTGGGAAGACGAGGAGCTGCTGCTGATGCTGCAGACGATGTTCATCGACCTGGACCTACCTCAAAAATTCAACATTCCCTTGCCGATTCTGAGGAACTTTCTTTACGAGGTTTACAACAACTACAACGAGGTGCCGTTTCACAATTTCAGGCACTGCTTCTGCGTGGCGCAAATGGTGAGTATTCCTTCATTTTTTGTATCGCTCTAACTCACGCGATTCCCCGCGAAGATAATTAACAATTATGTGGTAGCGTAACTGTAATCGCATGTTGATACGGGAGGAAATGAGTTATGTTGATATTATAAGCGTGATGAACAACATTGTAATTACGATGGACACTAATAGTTTGATTAATCTAATTAACTGGCGTGGTACTGCATTGTTCTGCTATATAATATGATTAAATTATTTCCCGATCGATTAAAATACATGCATAGAGCGGCATGCGTTGGTAGTTGTAGATCGAATTAAGTTATCGTCTTAGTGTTAACTGATTGTACCCAGATGTACGCGATAGCCTGGGCGGTGGACCTTCCGTCGAAAATCGGCGAACTCGAGGTCCTCATCTTGATTGTCTCATGTATATGCCACGATCTTGACCATCCGGGCTACAACAACATCTATCAGATAAACGCGCGGACCGAGCTGGCGCTGCGCTACAACGATATCTCACCCCTGGAGAATCACCATTGCTCCGTGGCATTCCGGGTCCTGGAGGCGCCCGAATGCAACATCCTCGCGTCCTTGGACAATCCCACGTACAGAATAGTGCGCGAGGGCATCATAAGGTGCATCCTGGCGACCGACATGGCCCGGCACAACGAGATCCTCGGCCAGTTCACCGACACCACTCCCGAATTCGATTACACTAACAAGGCGCACATAAATCTGGTAATCCATCGGCGACCAATGAGGTATTTAATGGTACACTTAATGGAACATTCAATTCCCTAATTATACTTCGCAGCTGTCCATGATCCTGATCAAGGTGGCTGACATAAGCAATGAGGCACGACCGATGGAAGTCGCGGAACCGTGGCTGGACAGATTACTTCAAGAGTTCTTCAAGCAGAGCGACGCGGAGAAACTTGAGGGTCTTCCGGTCACGCCCTTCATGGATCGCGATAAAGTGACCAAGCCGTCCTCCCAAGTTAGCTTCATCGGCCTAGTTCTCCTTCCTCTCTTCGAAGCTCTCGGCGAACTTCTACCCGAGTTGCAGGTATCTCATCCTCTCAAGTAGACTAATTATTATCTGTGCCTGAAATGAAATAATGAGCAGTATGTATAATTAGGAAAAATAAATATGACATATGCACAATTAAATGTGGACGAAACTCTGCTTTTCAGGCTCTCTTAGTTCAGCCGGTCAGGGAAGCTCTGGAATACTATCGCAGACTGAACGAGGCGGCCAAAGACGAGCGTCATCATCGGAGAAGCGTTGTGGACGTCGGGGAGTCGGCCCCGCCCAACGCGCCAATCGGCACAGGCAGTTCATCCACCGTTTTCAAGTCCACGTCGTCGCATAGCATGCGCTCGAAAAGGTCCGCCACGACAATCCATTCGCGTTCGCGCTCCACCGACGACGATATCACGGAAAACTTGACGATGGAAGAGGCGGAAAACATTGAGAGCTCCGATCCGGAAACCGCCACGGAGGTGGAGATCAGCGAAAAAACGCTCAAATTCAAGATCTCCACGGAGGGCACGCTGACCGGTTCGAACAGCGGTCGAAAGAGCTATCCCGGCAGTCGGAAGGGCAGTCGGGAGAAGTCCTCGTTGGATTATCACAATCACGATCTGGCCAAAGCCGTCCGGGATCACGAGCGCGAGAGGAGACGCAGCAAGGGTGAGAATCTCGGCAGTGATCTGAGCTCGCCGGTGAGCGCGAGGTCTGCCGAGGGCACGCGGATTGTCGAGGAGATGGAGAAAGAGACGTTTTTTTTAGACGCCAAGATTGAGAGTAGGACGCCCGAGGGAAACGGTAATGTCGTCGCGGCGGAGGCGGCTCGCTCGCAACCGAAAAACAACGTGAGGAAAACCAGCAGTGTCATAGAGAACGATCAGGAGAACAGACCTAGCCGCAGAGATGCGCACAGTAGTCGGGAATCGATCGGTCTGCGATGTTGCTGCGACGACAAAACTGGGCCGAATAACAAGTCTCTGTTCTCGCGATTGAGGAACTTTACCGACCGCCTGAGTATGAGCTTCGACTCCAAAGATTCGCCAAGTCCGAAACCGAAACACGCGTCGAAGATGCTTAACAAAAGCAACTCGATTAGTAGCGGTTCGGCCACGACTACCTCGTCGAGGCACCACAATTCCTTGTTTATTTGCAAGCGCTGCAACCTGGTAAAGTCCTCGGTAAAGGACGGCGGTAAGGCCATCGCGACCGTGGTGGAGTTGTCGCCAGTGGACAAACGGGCGATGACTTTGCCGAAGGTTCGAAAGTCTACGGATAGTAAGAATAAGAGCTGGCGAACGGTATTTGCCAAGGAGAAGAGATCGTCCACTTCTTTGGAGGCTTTGCCGGCAGCCTCTGGCTCTCGGTCATTTTCCAAGCACCGCAGAAACTTGTCGAATCCTGAGGGCAAGTCGCAAAGCCTGAAGGAAACGAAAACTCGACAGGCCCTGGGTATCGAGTTTCATGAGATCGACATTCGTTTGAAGAATCAACAGCCTGAAATCATAGTCAATCCCGACGATACCTGCTGCAATGTCGAGGAGGATCTCGGCAAGGTAGAAATTAGAAGAAGTTCGGCCAGCATGGAGGACATCTCTAAAATGGCGAAGCAGGCTGCGGAGGCTGCCGTGTTGGGCGCGCTTGATCCTAAGAAGGCGGAGGAGCGTCCTCACACCGGTAGTCTGGACTCGATGCTCTGCAAGGAGGTATCCAAGGCACGGAAGAAGCATTCTGCTCTATTTTGCTCGCCCGCGACGTCGAAAAAGTCGTCGCCTGGACTGTTCTCGCGATTTAAATCCGGTATGAGCATCGATAGCACCAGGAGCAACAGCAACAGCGATTCCTTGCACGATCACGGCTCGCAAAGCGGCTGGATATCCTCATTGACGGCTAGCTTTCGGCCGAAGAGACATCCGAACGAAACGCCGCTGTCGCCACATCCACCAAGGTCGCCCAGCAGAGAGGAGATCAAGTGATACGTCCTGGTGGTCGAGGATTCCTCTGATAAGAAGCTCAGCCTCCGCGGCTGGTGGCCTGAGCACTTGTTCTGCTGCAACAGCTAAGACTCGAGCGAGAAAGTTCAATGTCTACAGAGAGGCTAATTTAGACCCAGAAATATCCGGGAAATATCGCCATCGAATGCATAATGCGTGAAAAAAAGAGAAACTAGTTGAAAATGGTTTTTAAAAGATTTTTTAAGAAGTTTAAATTTTCTAATGCAGGAATTATCCCGCGTGATTCTCATCGCGATATTAATTGTCGCTAATAGATTAGTAATTGCGGTGGATAAAATAAATCGCCAATCGAGCGCGTCGACGATATTCAATGAATCTATTTTGCGAAATAAAATATGTATCATAAATTCTCGCGAGTAATTCGCAACGATCAATGCCGCGGCGCACGATGCGCCTGTAATATATGAATTAAATATTTCTCCGTGTAATATTAACAACGGTCAATTTGAATGAACGTATTTGCTCGAGCAATGCTATTCGTCGAGGAAACGTTAGGTATACGTAATATATGATTACCGATTGAATTAAATTCTTCTTGGAGGGATCCTCGGACCATGATTTCGTGTCATCGACTTTAAGTGTTTTACGTCATGACGATCGAAGTCGCAAGAATCGAGAGATACGTTTATTTGTGAGGGGCACCTACGGCCTGTGGGATGTGAGGAGATGTACGTGCACATGAACTATTTTATTTATTGTCCAATTAAAGAATAGCCTAATGAGTAATCATTAATGTTGTTCGTATTATATGTATATATATATTAGGTTGGCCAATAAGTCCGTGCGGTTTTTTACTTGAACATTTATAAGTAAAAAATCGCACGGACTTATTGGCCAACCTAACATATAGGCAAAGTGCAGAGAGAGAGAGAGAGAGAGAG